CATGAGACTAATTGCATATTTAGTTTGTGTACTATAACCAATTAGAGACAGAGTAGGTCATCTCTTCACCATCCTAGGAAAATAAATTGCAGCATACTACTGACTATTGTCAATCAATCATTGGTTTGACTCAGAGGGGATTTAGAAGTGGGTATAACCTATGGAGACTGAAACATAGGAGGGTATACTCCATAAACATGTGTATACCCATGCACTACACCACTGATTAGTTGTCTTACAATAGTGGTTTGCTTAATGTTAGTAGTGTTAGTGTCATGATTTGGTCTTATTTAGTTTTGTATTTCAGCATTTAGGTTTCCATGTTTTAATTTCTCCTGTTTATCCAAGTGTTGCTTGTTTCCCTTGTGTGTTTCTGTCCTAATGTTTCATAGTTTAGTCTTTAGTTTTTCGTGTGTTATTTTGTAACTTTGTACCCTAGTGTTTCTTTTTGTTCTAAGTGTGTTTTTGTTACTTTCTTGAGGTCTGTGTGTCTTCAGTGTTTCATGACTTAGTTTGTAGTTCTCCTCAGTGTTTCTTGTATTTTATTCCTGCCTCTGTGTGTTTCCCAGTGTGGTTGGCCTGATTGTCCTCACCTGTGTCTTGTTAGTCTCACCTGTGTCTGATTACCCTATGTCTATTTAGTCTCTGTGTTTCTTCCCCTCTGTGTCCTAAACGCTGAAATACAAAACTAAATAAAACCAAATCATGACAGTTAGTATGCTAGTGAAAGCAAGTGATCGTGTACAGAAGCTAGTGATCCAAATATTTATAAGGGACATTTAGATGCATTTGCCATTACTCAATGGATTCCAGCAGGACTCAGTCTGGCTAAGAGCACATAGCAGTACTCCAAAATGTAAAAACACTCAGGAGTAATGGATAAGCAGCAACAAAATCCAATCAATCAAACAGTTGTTGAATAACATGGAGAGAGAGAGAGTAGCATCAGGGAGAGACAGTGAGGGATGAGCTAACAGAGGAACACAGCAGCTCTACACTGACGATCAATAAAGCAAAATAAAAGAGCCTGACATTGTCGGCTCTCACAGCCCTGCACAGTTACACACAGAAGCTTTTCTAACATTATGTAGAAACCCAGCAGAGCACTAATCCTCAATATCATTGATCGTAAACTAACTTGTATAATACCTCACTTAGCCTTTTTTAAATAAGTTAGTTTATGTTTAAAGAAGATAAGGCAAGCCGCTGAACAACAGCTTTTGGCAAGTAACGTATGTGGAACTGCAGGGTCAAAATGTTATTTCTTTGAAAGGCATTTAACAATGTCTGTTGCAAATCATGCTCATCACTCCAGTTGTTTAATTTTTAGAAAAAGAGGATTTTTACATTTGCTTGATGAAAGAGTCTTCTTTTATACCAAAGATAATAGGTCTTCAAAGTGGATTTAACCAATGTAGACTACTTTTTTGAGTGACCATATTTGGATAAGAGGTTTATTACTCTTTGCTACTCCTCTATCCTGGTACACATGTCTGCATTGTAGCAACTTCTCATTCACAACCTGTTAATATGTTTCTATATTACTCTATTAGAACAAAAAAATGAACATCATAGTCTACTGTAGACTACTTGGAATAAGGGACTCATTTCAAAACTGTTAACTGAGGTTAATATTAAGGTCAGAAGTAAAGTAATGTTTTTCATTTCCCTAGTGAACGAGATGATCACCTCTCTGCGACTCTAGGTCAGGGAGAGGAAGGCTCGGACTGTTGTGTGAGCATATGCACCTGATAGCAGTACGGAGTCTGCTGCCTTTTTGGAGATACTGGGCTGGCGTCAGCGAAGGGGTTCCATCTAGGGACTCTACAGTCCTGCTGGGGGACTTCAACGCAACTTTGGTCAATGAAGGAAACACCTGGAGGGGGTTGATTGGGAGGAACAGCCTGCCCAATCTAAACCCCAGTGGTGCTTTGTAATTGGACTTTGTGAATTGACCATGACAAATACTAAGTGTTCTTGGAACCCTATAGGCCAGAGATTGATGATTGACTTTGTAGTTGTATCATCTGATCTGCGGCCATGCGCCTCCCCCCACCCCCTTGCTCCCTATCCCTCTTGCTGCATCTTATCCCATCTCTCCCCCTATCCCTTTCCAAGCCCGGCGCAGTCTAGGCCTGTGAAGGCTGTTTCGTCATGAGCCGGGGATCCGGCCGAAGATTTCTGCCTTTTTAATAAGGCAGTTTTTTCTTACCACTGTAACTTTTGCTGCTTTGCTAAAGTGCTCATGATGGATAGGCCGGATCTTTGTAACATAGCAATAAGTAAGGTATTTTACCTGCTTTTTGTAAAGTGTCTTGAGATAACACTTGTTATGAGTTGACGCTATACAAATAAAATTGAATTGAAAAATTGAATATGTATTGGACACTCAAATGAAGAGAGGAGCGGAGCTGGCAACTGATCATCTCCTGGTGGTGAGTAAGATCACATGGCGGGGAAGGCTGCTGGACAGACCTGGTAAACTTCAATGTGTAGTGCGGGTGAACTAGGAAGATATGGCGGAGGCCCCTGTCCATGAGGTCATTGACACCCACCTCTGGAAGAATTTCTTGTGCATATGGGGTTGGGGACATGGCGCATGAGTGGTCCATGTTCAAAGCCTCCTTTGTGGAAGCAGCTGCTAGGTGTTGTGGCCAGAAGACCGTCTGTGCCTGTCCTGGTAGCAACCTTGTGGTTGGCAACAAGGAAGTTCTGGCAAACCATCAGATGCTGAAGGCTCTGGACATTGTTGGGCTGTCTTGGCTGACACGCTTCTTCAATGTCATGTTGAGGTAAATGGCAAATGGACTCATACTTTATAGTGCTTTTCTAGTCTTCTGACTACTCAAAGTGCTTTTACACCACAGGTCACACTTAACCATTCATACACTGATGGCAGAGGCTGCTATGTAAAGTGGCCATCAGTATTAGCTATCCCATTCTTTCACCTTTGCAAGCAGCGGGAGCAACTTCGGGTTAAGTGCCCAAGGACACATTGGACTGTAGGAGCTGGGGATTGAGCTCCAAACCTTCTGTTTGAGAGACGACCAGCTCTACCATTGAGCCACTGCGGCCCTACTAGTACAGTGTCTGTGTAGTGGCAGACCGGGATGGAGACTGAAGGGTGTGCTCCAACAATCGAGGTGTCACACTATTCAGCCTCTAAGGGAAAGTTTACTTTGGGGTGCTGGAAAGGAGGCTCCAACTAATTGTCCAACTTGGATACAGGAGAAAAAAGCGGATTCCATCCTGGCTGTGGGACAGACGACCCACTCTCTACCCTTGCTGGGCTTATGGGGGGAGCAATGGATTTTGCTCATCGAGTCTGCACATACTTTTTGGATTTGGAGAAGGACTATGACCATGTCCCTTGGGGGGTTATTCAGAAGGAATATAGGGTCCAGGGGCCATTTCAACAAACCATCCAGTCTCTGTATGACCAAAGCCACATCCTCGGCACAAAGTCAAACACGTTTCTGATGAGTATCTTCCTCTGCTAGGGTTGTCCCTAGTCACGGATTCTGTTTGCGATTGTCATGGACAGTATCTGAAGACACAGCTGGGGGAGGAGGGTTTCCAGGTGGGAGTCCTCAAAATGTCATCTCTGCCTTTGCAGATGACGTGGTTTTGTTGGCTTTCTCAAGCTGGGACCTCCAGCATGGATTGCGGCGGTTTTCAGCCGAGTGCAAAGCGATTGGTATGATGGTCAACACCTCAAAGTCTAATTCCATGGTTCTATGCCAGGAAAGACGGACCATGAGATTGACAGGTGGATTGGTGCGGCGTCAGCAGTAATGCGGTTGGGGTGGAGAGGGAACTGAGTCTGAAGGCAAAGCTTTGAATCTACTCGTGAATGTTCGTGTCAACCCAAACTTATGGTCATGAGCTATAGGTAGTGACAGAAGAAGAAGAAAATGGATGGATGGACAATCTGTATGAGAAAATGTCCCTTCCATTTAGCCTTATCCCCAAACCTTAGCAAAGCATAGATATCAAACAAATACAGAAAGACAATAAAATATTAACCTTTTCTCTGAACTAGTTGTTCAGTATCAGAGGACAAATAATTTGTATTTTTTTCCTAAAATGGGGGCTATATCTAGCTTAACTGTACAGAGAAAGCTAATTAATATATAAAACAGACGCCTCCCTGTCATCATATCTTTAACCCATAACCGCCATTGTTTGTAGAAATTAAAATGTTACCGTTTTCCATACTGTGTAAATGCTAGATTGTTAAATTAAAAACTAAGAGAGAGCTGTATCTTTAGGTCATGTGCTTGCATGGACCCATTGAGAAAAGTCCTGAGACTGACAGCCAGTTATGCAGCACTTTATTAATGTTTATTAAATATGCTGTCAAGGTGTGCATCAGCAGGAGTATGAGTTCACTATCATTATTTGTTATTGCTTTGACCCTTTGGCATGGTAGTCAATGCTACATCTGCTATTATATGAGCAACTGTGTTGCAGGTTTCTTGTCGGTTAAGACAAGTAATCCGCTGTTGAATAAAACATAAAAAATAGAACTCACATACAGACACGATGGCCTGTGATTGAGCCAGGAACATCTTGTGAAACTAAAGACGTTACATGCTACGGCAGGGGTTTAATTCCATTTGGGGTCTTAGCAGTGCAAGATGTGCTTGTATTTTTCAGGTCTGCAGAGCATGAATGATTATATTGGGTTGTATAAACTCCTTTTATGAATTTTAATGATTTCCTCATTTCCCCTCATTCATATTTATCGTGTTTTGGAAGGACTAGCTCAACAACAGTCTGTAGACCCGCCTACTTTGTCATGAATATTTTTCAGCACAGAAGCAGTGACAAGAGACTCAGCATACTACTGGGATGACTAATAAATATAAAAAGGACACGGCCTTGAAAAACCAGGGCCATATTAATTTTATTATTACTGGTTTTAGTTCAAATACCAGATCTTCAGTGTCCTTATCCAATTCAAAGAAAACATAACTACAGACAAAGGCAATCCTTACCATTGTAGGAGAGGCGAGGCTTGCTTAGACACATGATGAAGTGAACTTCCATTTCGTTGGACGCCACAGACTTGGAGCAGACAGGACACTTGAATCCTAGGAAAAACAGCAGAGAACGGATCAGTGACTAAATCCAATACATCCACATACCTCTGAAATAAACGAGTCAAAAATGAATCAGGATTTGTGTTTGTGTAGCAACCCTTATTGCACATTGTTACAAACTAAATTTAAAAGAATGGTTTCTTTAAAGGGTTTTACATGAATACCGATGTGAAAATGTGTTTCTGAATGTGCTACACATTTATCTCTTAAGGTGATGATCTACAGTCCAGGGACCCTGATGATAAACTACCCATCAACAGACCACTTAAGTGTTGCTGTTTTTCCTCAGGGCGCCTGGATCCCATTTAATGACAAACCATGACAAACTAGGTTGGGCTGCTGTGCTGCTTCTCGCTGTGATACAAAGTAAAGATCAACCTGGACTAAACAGTCCCCTATAGGTCTACAACAAAGCCATATTTATGTCAAATGTGGACATGCTGAGCTACTCATTTCTAGTGAGGTCCTTATTGTGACTGGAACAGAAAAAAAAAGTCAAATACAGATTTATACAAACCAGTAAGGATTCAAGCTGCTGCATTTTGTAAAAGCAAATGCTAAGTGAGACAAGATCTAAAGGTCAGATAGGTGATACAGGATGCAGGCAATACACTAGTGGAATTTAACAAGCCGCTGTGACAGGAAAAACATTTTAATGGAAATCATTGTTTGTGAGCCTTCATTGTTGTTTGGGCAGTAGACCTGACAGAAAAGTTTGACAAATGGTTTATAGAAATACCTGTCCTTGGGGGGGGAGGGGGGGGCAGAGTTATAACAGGGAGATACAGTAAGGCTAAATAAAAACAATGCATACAGTTTTGCACTGCTAGCAAACGCATATAAAATGTTGTGAGAGGAATTCCAGGGAAACTTAAGGCTGAATCTACACCACATGTAACAACTACTTAAACTGAGACAAGAAGATACCGGTAGTTATATCTCTATGCTATTCTTTTTGCGGAAAATATTTCAGATAAATTAAAAAAATATAGGAATTATTTAGTAAAGAGTGTGACTGACAAAGACGTATGGCTTACGTCAATGATCTGTTTAATGTACGCAGAGCAGTTCTTTTATACCAAACAAATAACTTGTATACTCTCACACATGGACCTCTCCTTTTTTTCAGTCACTAGTCCCCTTTCTGTGATGTTTGGATTGCACCCATTAGGCCAAGTTTAACACATAACGGAGAATTAGTTCAACCACAAGGCCACATGAGTCGAGTTTGTGCACAGCTGAAAACGGACAGTATTTCACTGTTATAAATGAAGCTTCCAGTCAAAACAGCAGCGACCCTTGACTCTGAATGGGATCACTCAGATGTCTGAGAGCTGTGTGCCTACTCGTTATACAGAAGAAAGTTATCCAGCGTCAACAAGGTCTCACTTAATTGTTCAAACTTTGTTGTGCAAATTCACTTCAGAAACCTTGTAACACCGATGCTCTTGTACCATGAGAATCTTTTATTGCATTTTGACTGCTCAGGATTAAACATTAAAGCTTAGTATAGTAGGGACTACATCATCGAATCTGAATGGACAGAGGTTGTGTATGTGCTTTAATCATGTGCTGATATAATGAGATTTACATAAACAGTAAGCAGCACAGCCAGGGGGATTTCCGAGGGGATTTATTTGAGAAGACTTTTTCCCTTTCAGGCACGTTCCCTTTTGAGAGAGTTTTATCTCTGTGGATTTGGTTTTCTCAGGAGATGTTTGCCTTGCACACTTTGCAGTTCTTAGTTGGGTGGTTCTAGCCCGCCCTCCTGACAGTAGAACAAGGTTTATTGGCTTGTTTTTGTACTGTTGTTGTATTTTGTCTTCATGTCTCGCTTTTTTTTCTCGTCCTTAAATCTCCATTCACTATAAAGGCTTTCGAGACATGAACTTACCCTTGTGATAAAGGATTTCCCCTTTCATGTGATTGGCCATTTGTAGTCCAGAACGAGGTCTAAGATACTACAATCAGCGGATTCTATAGTTGCCATTATTCAACTTATACTATAACACACATAGACACATGGGCCAGTAAAGCACCCACACAGCAAAGTAAAACATTGACATTAACAGAAATTGTGTTGCAATGAACACACTGACCTTCCTTTTGTTTCACAAGAAGATGTTTTATACTCATAAGGCTGCTGATTGCATAAAATATGTGTGTGGTTAGAAAGCCTGTTTCAAATGTTTTACATTGTTGAAAAGAAACATGTCCTTTCAGATTGAATGTACCCCAGACCACACATGGGTTTTAGGATGATGAAAAATATAAAGATAATACTTGAGGATTGGTATTTTTTAAATGATTGTAACTTATTGTATGTTCTGGTTCCTACTTGTTTAGTATGTGACTGTGACTTCAGTTTTCTTCCTTCTTTTTGTATGAATCATTTTGAACATTGTGTTTTGGTTTATAGTTAGAGTTGCCAAACAGAGTATGTCATGAAAAAAAGGTGGGAATAATAAACCAAAGAATTCAGCCCACACCTTGTCGGTTTGTGGACTAAATATAACTATTTTTTACTTTCCTAATTTTGTAATTATCAAATTATTTATTATTTAAAAAATATTATTATTATTATTATTATATAGAAGGATATCATTTTAAATAGTAAATTAAGGGTGAGTTTTATCAAACAAACATTGTGAAGACGTCAACTTGTGATCTCTTCCACTGCTTAAAACATTATTTTTTGTTAGATTTACAACTTATGTTGTCTGTTGTCTGTTTCTATTATCAAAAAATGAGATAAGGCAAAATGCTCAGGTGTCATGTGCACTGAAACTCTGCAAAAACAGTAAACTGTTTGTCTTAGTTGTGCAACACTTCATGAAAAGAAAATCTCCAAAATGTAAGACATGGAAGTACAGTATTTGGACAAATCGTTGGGAAACATACAGAAAAATGCACTACACCCCCCCTCCCCTCCCACCTCTGCATGGCAGCTGACCCACTTTTCCCTTGGCTGCTATTTTCAGAAGCTCCATAGGGACGAGCAGGGAGAAAGATGGAGGAAATGAGTGAAAAAGATGAGCAGAAGGAAGGTGAGAGAGTACAGGCATTTGAGGAGAAATTAAGGGTTATGATACCTGGTCCAGCAGGACTCTAACTCTGCAGTTAGGAAGGTGTGTGTGTGTGTGTGCGTGTGTGTGTGTGCGTGTGTGTGTGTGCGTGTGTGCGTGCGCGCGTGTGTGCGCGCGCGCGCATGTGTGCGTTTGCCTTCAGCTCAGTCACAGAACCCAAATCCTTGAGGGCTGTTCATAGCATGAGGTCATATAAGGACAAAAATATATGTCATGAATTCATTAAAGTGCTGCTGCCCTTTAAATGAGGTGTTTGTGTGTGTGTGTGTGTGTGTGTGTGGTCAGAGCGCACGCAGGCGTAAATATGAGCAACTTGTGCCAGTAATCCTGTACTGTACACTGTTCAGGATTTGTTTATGTCACATTGGCACTTTCCTCTCAAATATTTGTGTTGCCTGTCATCATTGTGGACCGATGCAGGTGATGTCAGTGAACTGCACACAGCAGTTTCATGATCAGCAGCCATGGGACGCTCTATACACCATGGCATGGAGAAGACTGACAGCTGCTGAGGAGACAACTTTAATGTTACAATCTGATAATATCTAGAATTAAGATGCTTTCAGGAAAGGACACATTAATGGCCTTTTAGTTTCTAGATAAAACAAAAATCTTAGTTTGATATCATTTAAAGACCTTATGATAACATTAATATGCTAATTGTTTAATATGCTTATGTGTTATATTAATAAACTATGCATCTCAATCACTTTCTGTTTATCAATTAATATAAAGGTGACAATGATTCAAGTGTTCACCTGACCTCTGGTGATCATCTTTCTTTGTTTTGTTGTTGTTCTCTGGCTTTTTACAAATTAAGCCATTGACGATATTAACGCATAATTACTAACTTCTTGATATCATTATCATCTTTAGTTTTTGATAAGGTTCAGTCAGGTTAATAGACAGAGAGACCTTACTCTCTAAATTCATCTCCACCTCATCTCTGTGACTATGTGACTGTCAGAAAACCAGAGCGATTAAATCCCTAACCTTTCTCTGTTTTATTTAGTTATTTAACCTTTACTTAGTCCCATGGAGATTGGGGTCTCTTTTAGCCAAGAATAGCAGCAATACAACGTTTCAGCAACAAAAACAATCAAACGTTAAAATGATCAGCTAAAACATTCACACACAGAAACCCTGGATTCAAGACTTTTCAGGAGGTAAAAACATCCATCTCACTAAGTAGATGTTTATTTGTCAAAGCAAAGGAGGCAGAAAACCTTCAAGCTTATAGTTTCCCAACTTGTTCAGACTTTGGGAACTACAAATTGCACAATGTCCAAAAACATAGGTCGTGGATTCCAGACTAAAGGATTCAAAGGAAGTAAAGGTATAGTCTGAAATTTTGCCTGGAATGGCTTTATAAATGATGATATGGCAATGCACAAGGCAGTGCATACATACAAAATGACCTTAGGGTATAGAGTACAATGCTGAGGAAGACACAGTTTGTGATAAATGTCAGAGCGCCATGATACACACTGTCCAGTATTTTAGACTATGAGTTAAGGCGTTCATGTAGCATGCTGCTAATTTTTGTATTATGCTGAGATATTAGCAAATCTAAGTCTACATGCACACACAAGAGTGACATCAAACCACAAGGAGATATATGTTAGGATTTCAATAAATCCACCTTTCAAAGGGTCATTGACCTTTTGGTTAGTTTTAAGGAGTGAACTTCTGAACAGCTGTCATTATTTGTTTGGCAGTATTGACGTATTTTGCCCACCAAACACTGGGACACACTAGAAAACCCGAAAAGCCATTTGTAATAAAATAGAGACAACTTAATCTCGAACTGTTCCATTTCAGAGGCAGTAGTCTGTGTTTTCAGTTTTTCTTGTCTTCAGCTCCTGGTGGAATATTATGAGAGAAACAAACCATTGAGCAGAGTAC